TAGTTAGGAACTCTTGCCAGTGTGTTGCTTTTGCAGCCCTTATAGCATGGAAGTACGTATTTCGGGCCGTCTTATAGGTTCGTTCCTGGTTAGGGTCTTTTATAGTTTCTTTGGGCATGATGTAAGCTCTTTCGTAGAGATGTAAGTTCGTTAGACCACCAAGGTTTTGATCTTTCAGTAATCTTAAGCCTAGGGATTGCCTGATATTACAAACCACTCGACTGTCAGGGTCGTCTGTCTGTAAGGGAGCACGGGCTCCACAGAATGCTGGGTTGGTAATTATGAAGATAGAACAAAGGGCAAGCTCCTATCGCACGGGTAATACAGTCAAATCGGAATGCCACTCAAAGTGTATGAGTGCAGTGAATGTGTATTGCTTGCTTGAAGAACCAAGCAAGAACTATCTAAGACCGTGGGCACGGTCATCGTATTTATCTAATTATGGCGGGCCAGTAAGAGCACAGCTCTTACTTGCCCGGCAGGAAGGAGCTGCCTGGCACCGGGCACTGCTAGCGTGCCGGGCCATTTGCCTGGTGCCAAGACCCCTCTTGGTACCGGGCCACCTCTGATTGGCCGTCCTTCCGTTTGCCTGGTGCCAAGAGCCCTCTTGGCACCGGGCACCGTCTGATTGGCTCATCGACGAGCGGGGTCCCCAGTCATGCCTGAGGCGCCCGCCTCCTGCAGCTGGTCCAGTACGAACCAGGTTCGCCACACCTGATCTGCAGCTTCTGTGATTACTGTACTAAGTATATCAGCTGTACTGTTCCAATCCCTTTGTTGTATAGCAGTCTGGACTGCTTTTGCGGCTTCTTTTTCATTTGTGTTCAACTTTGTAGTAAATATATCCCAATTAGTCTTTTGTAGTTGTAAGAGGGTAAGAGATTGCCTGTACTAGTGTGCTTGCTAGTGGTTTTCGTTGACTTTGGCCAGCCTTGGAAGGTTATAGCTTCGTGGTCAGATCCTGTGGATTCGGTATAGTCCCAGTTATTTCAGGTAATCGATTTGAAGGGTGTAGTGAAAGCTAGGTCAATAACTGAGGTTGCTATAGAGTGCGTCTCCTCCGACTGTTAAAACGTCTCCATATACTGTAGGTACATAGGCGCCCAAGCGTTACAGCTCACCGCCCATGAAAATACCACATTTTACAGTCAAAATTACCACATTCGCTGGCTTCCCGGCTCCAAGCGCTGGCAACGCAATTGTACCGCAATTGCACCTCGCCACCGTCGCCAACGTCAACACACTTCCAAATGCGGTAAGTGAAGCTCAGGACCGTAGATTCGCTCAAATCGTTCAAATCTCCAGTAAAATGCAAAGCTGACTTCGTTGAATTCGCTTACGTAATAGGGCCAAAAATGCAATAAAAGACTACAGGCCTGCTTACACTACTCACAACTGCATGCAACTAACAGCTTTACTGATCCATGCCTTCTAAGGCCCGGGCAGTCGGCTGCGGGACCCTTCCACTTCGTGTAGGCCGTACAATACGACCTTCAGCCACTGCAGAGGCTGCAGGGACACGTGAAACTCGTGATGTTGTTGTGCTGCCCCGGCCTCCCCTGCTCCCTGAACCCCGGGTGCCACGGCGAGCCGAGTCAAGGTTGTTGACGGTACGGCGGGGAGGCGGCTGGCTAAGCTCGTCAACGTCGTCGTCGTCAACATCGTCGTCGTCATCGTCAAGGGTGGCGCCCTCCCACTGTGAGGGATTCCGCCGAATGGAAGGCATAAGCCCGGACTTCCTGCCCGGCTGAGTGGTCCGGACCCGCGGAGCGTTCGGCTCGGCTGCGAACGCCGTCGTGTTGCGAGGCCTGCCCCGAAGGTGCTCAACCCTGTCAAAGTCAAGGTACCGCAGGTACCTTTAGCAACCTCCCTATTGAGGACAGCTGGGCGGTCGATGTATTCGGCGATGACTGCTTTATGCTCAAGACCGAAAACGACTTTGGACCTCAGAAGGTTGAAGTCCCGGTCGCTCGGTAGATGATTTGTATGCTCTGTATGCTCGGGATGAAGCTCAAAGGTCCATTTTCTATCGTTAGAAACGAGGGCTTTGGCTACGCCCTGCCAAACGCAGCCTCTGTGATCGGTGGTGGTTTTGTTCACTGTTGCCCTGGATTGTTGAATTTTTCCACCTTGACAGCCAAAATCGACCCTGGTTGCGCCGAAGTCGTTGGCGTAGTTGGAGGCTCGTATTTTGAACGTATTGAAGCTCGTAGAGGCGGTCCATTCGTTCAAATTGTCGACAAGATCATCGAGGCTGTCATATTTCGTGATCAAAAGCTTATGGCCGGCAGGTGGGTTTGAGAGGGGTGGTGGTACCGGCAGCGCCGGATCGGGCGCATCGCTGAGATCGCCAAAGTCGCTAAGATCGCTCAGATCTTCAAGGGCGGCCATTTCTATCGCTAGTTAGTACTACGCGACGAAGTAACCAATGAAGAAATGAAGCCATACCGATGCATCGATTGAATGCAGTGCCGACGATGTTTTTTGGTGGTTATAGAAGGCCGGTTGCAGTGGAAACGTGAGGTTCGGTTGCGTTGTGGTAAAAAAAAATGGTAAATTACTGCGCGGCAGAATGTTGGATGTACTGGCGGGCTGGGTATGTGGCCAGGGTTAGGGTTATATGTGGTGGATTATAGTATTTGGGGACGTTTTAACAGTCGGAGGAGACGCACTCTAAAGGAAATAGATCAATCTTTCCTGGCTTCTTCTAGCCATTTCATTGTACAAATCTTCGTACTACTAAGGAAGTCCCCTAGGGCCTTTTTCTCTCGGTGGTGTAGAATAGTATTTGGAGTGTGAGAGAGTAGTTTTTCAGGGCTTTTGTCAAGGCCTTTCGCTCTATAGTGTATTTTTTGCACAGTAGTAGTAGGTGTGTAGGTGTTTGGTCCTCCAGACAACCGGGGCATTCGCTACTTTCCACTTTTCCAATCTTCGCTAGATGACTAGCTAAGAAGCCAATCCTGGTCTTCAACTAGAAGGCTCTATCATATACATTTAGTTTTTATTGCTCGTACTACCTCGCAGTTCAGGCTTGTAGATTCGTGGCTATTACCGCAGTTTTTACACTTTCTTTCTAGGTGTTGGCATGGTCCTTGTTTTTCACAACTCTTGCAGTAGTGTGTGTTACTGTAGTGGCCTTTGGCGCACCACTTACAGGCTACTGGCTGTTTGCAGGTATCTGGGTTATTCCAAATCCTTGGCATCGCCGGCACTGCGTTGTAGTGCTAAATGTCTTGTATTTTACTACCTTCAGGCCGGTTCCTTCAATATTCAGGCCCTGGGGACAGGCTTATTCATCTGCTGAGCTCTCTATTGCGAATACTATAGAGCCTGTAGCTTGTCCTTCTTTTGGCCGGACTAGCCACCTTGGTTGGCCCCGGATGTCTATCTCGTTAGACTCCCAGCATTTGTGTTTAAACTGCTTGAATTCGTTGTCTTGTAGGTAGATTAGAACGTTATGGGCTACTAGTTTCTTCTAAGTAGTAGGCTTTTTCTAGTCTACTATAGGCCAGTGTTTCACTACCTCAGTCCACTGGTCTTCAGCATCCAAGAAGGCCTCTGGGGTGTTGTTTTTGGTGGTTGTTACCACTACGTTACCCTTTTCTGTCAGGTGTACTCGGGCAACTGCGTTATATTGCAGTGCCTCGCTGAACTGGTCCCTCATTGTCTTTGGGACTAGTTTGTTTTCTTCGTTGAAGTGGTTATCAGCTAGTTCAAAGACTACTTTATTAGCGTCCAGCTGTTTTGTCTTCGCCTTTGCCTTTGTCTTTGTCTTTGTCTTTGTAGTAGTTTTGGCTTTGGCTGTAGTTGTATAGCCAGGTTTTTTAAGCCAGCTGCCAATGCTTGTGCATTGGTAAGTTTCTGGCCCTGGTTTTGGCCTTGGCCCTGGTTATAGTTCTTCACGGCGTTTTGGAGGTTCTGTACTTCTCTATCAAAGCTGTTCTGCAGTGTGTTGGCCTGTTTTACCAAGAATAGTGCAGCTTGTAGGAGGCTTACTACTACTTCCTAGGTCTCTAGCTGTACTAGTTGTACAGATTCAATAGACTTAGCTGGTTGGCCCTCTGGCTTTAAGGGCACCCTACTAGTTATAGTAGTGGTTTTTGTGTATATTGTGCTAGGGGAAGGGGGGGGGGTAGGCGTGTGGTCAGGGGTTACCTCCCTGGGGCTGTTTCCAACGCTTGTTAGCCCCTCAGGGCCAGAGCCTGTACTGCCACCTTCTACAATCACATAGTTTTCAGAAGATGTAGTATGTTGAATACTTGGTCGGTTGCCACCTCCTTTCGGATTGAGCTCACTAGCCTTATTACCATTGAGGCCAGAACCCCCGGGGCTAGCACTCCCTTCTATAGTGCCCCCGGGACTGATCTGGCTAAGCCGCCCGTCTTCTGAGGTCCTGTGTATTGTAGGTTGTTCACTAGCTTTGGGCTGTACCAGTGTTCGGCTTGCTGCAACTATAGCAACTGCTACGGTTGTGTTTGTAGCCTGTAGTTCCTTGATTGTGTGTGGGCTTGCAGTACGCCTAGATTTAGGCGCCATTAGCCATGTAGCCTCTGTAGTAGTGGCTTTGGTGGGCGTTGTTGAACCCATTGTTAGTTATTGTTGATTAGCTTGTTGATTGGTTGGCTTGTTGATTGGTTGAAAGGTTTATTGTGGGGCTTCGGAGTGGGGCTTAGAAGTGGATCTCCTGTACGGATGCTCCTACCAAAAGAATCTGTACACCGCTTTTAGTTTCTTTTCTGCTGGCAGAATCCTCCAGTAGGCATTCCAGGAAGCCACAGCGGTTAACCACTATAAGCGATTGGCTCTGTCCAAGCCGATCAAGACAGGGTCCATGCAAGCCACGTTGCAGTATGTCAGCCACGTACAGCTAGTAATCCAGGCAGTAAAAAGCCACGTTCCAGGCTCAAAAACAGCCAGCGCACAGGCTTGTGTTGGCAGTCGCCACAGGTGGCAAAGCGGTTGCCGTGGAAGCTGCCGTTGAGATCCATGCCCAAGATAAAAATATATCAAGATCCGTAAGCACAAGTAGTTTCAAAGCATCTTTTGTACTCTATCTATTACAACTACGATCTTATCTATCATTCAACCATGGAAAAATACACTGATAGTGGAACTAGCGCTCAAGCTTTGACCCTTAGAGCTGTCGGTTTCACAAATGCGCAAATCCAACAGGTTACCGGCATCCCTCCAGACTTTGAACAATATTCTCGACCGTGCGGTCAAGGCCGGATACGAGCCTGTGACTTCTGACGGTGTTATGGGCAAATTAATAGCTCCCACGTTACCAACGTACCAAAGTCTGGTCGCCCTCGCAAGCAAGAAGCTATTCAGGAAGAGGTCCTTGCTAAGGTTCGTCAAAACCGTTGTGGTCGTGAGAAGTCATGCGCTCAAATCGCTATTGAGCTAGAGGGGCGAGTCTCCGCCATGACGGTATGGCGGATTCTGCGGAAGGCTAGTATGAAGAAGACGAAGCCTACTCGAAAGCCTGGGCTAACGAAATGCGGGTAGCGAGATTGAAGTGGTGTCTTGATCATGAAGATTGGACCCTTAAGGATTAGATGAAGGTGATTTGGACTGATGAAACAGCTGTTGTTGTTGGCCATCGCCGTGGAGGGTATCGAGTGTGGAGGACTTCAGTAGAGCGACATCTACGAAGCTGTACTCGTGAGAGGTGGAAAGGGTTTACGGAGTTTATGTTCTGGGCTTCCTATTGTTACGATTTTAAGGGTCCTTGCCATATCTAGAAGCCGGAAACTGCTATAGAGAGGAAGTTAGCTGATGAGGACCTTGTAAGAGAAGGCAGGTACGCCTGATCAAGGTGGTCACGATGGAGGGAATAAGAGGGCGAGCAATGACTAGCATTGGTAAAAGACTTCAACCTGGCCCCCGCAAAGGAAGGTGGGCGAGGGCCACTATTTATATACATAGTTGGGTGGCTCAATCTGGCGGGTGCCTGGGCCGGGTGTTTGGTGCCAGCTGGTCGCCTGGGCCGACCCAGCTGTTTGGGGCCAGCTGGTGGCGCCTGGGCCGGACCGGGCGTTTGGGGTGCTCTTTCCTTACAGTCTGGGCGGCAGGTAGGAGATGACAGGAGACAAGGAGTATCGTGCACAGATTGCGAAAGACAGGCTTTCAACACACAACCAATGTATGCTTAACCAGATGCATTGATAGCTGCAGAACCGTTCTCCCAGAGAGAGCGTGCTGCCAGCTCCTATATAGAACTATGAGCAACTGTCAGAAACACTGCACACTGGATCTTGTGGAATTGATGGGGTTGTAATTGCTTGATTGTATTCCCCATCAATTCCACAAGATCCAGTGTGCAGTGTTTCTGACAATCAAGAGTCTCATTCGCTCGACACACCGATTAGTCAGCCAACCCCACCAAAAAACAACAAGAAGCACATTCGACTTGCACTTCTGGATCTTAGACCAACCAATAAGTCTAAACCCTTCAAATCAGCAAAACCAACAAGATGAATACCAACGACAAGGCTATCTCTCTAACCAGCTTTGACGACTGGGAGTTGTGGAACCTACAGTTCCAAGCCCAGGCCATAGCCGGCGGCATCTGAAATGAAATTCAGGGGGTGATATTACAAACCACTCGACTGTTAGGGTCGTCTGTCTGTAAGGGAGCACGGGCTCCACAGAATGCTGGGGTTGGTAATTATAAAGATAGAACAAAGGGCAAGCTCCTATCGCACGGGTAATACAGTCAAATCGGAATGCCACTCAAAGTGTATGAGTGCAGTGAATGTGTATTGCTTGCTTGAAGAACCAAGCAAGAACTACCTAAGACCGGTGCCACGGTCATCGTATATATCTATCTAAGCTGGGCCAATTGGAGCGTTGCTCTGTTGCTCTCTGACAGAGCTACAGAGCATTGCTCTGTTGCTCTCCGACAGAGCTACAGAGCAGCCAACCAAACTGTTGCTCTGTACTCCACCGTGCAGAGCAAATGCGGGTCCTTCTGCTCTGTTCTCCACCGAACAGAGCAACTGTGGGTCCAAGCCCCTCCTTTAACGTGACTAGCCGAGGCGGGTCCAGCCACCCCTGCCCTGCTTCCCAACCAGTACGAACAGGGATTCGTGACAGGTGACCCCTTTCCTCGATGAACCTACGGCTCCAAACTCTACGCACTAGTCCCTGTTGCGGCCAGTTCCACCATCTAAAAAAATGCTGGTATACTTTCCCAGAAAAAGCCCCTGATGGCTTTGTTGAAAGGGAACACCTTCGAATGAGGGTGAAAGAAGCTCTTCTGAATCCAGATCTTCAAAAGAAAGTGGAAAGGCTGAAAACAAACTCAAGTTGACTAGGCCGTAACGTTGGCCGTTGCCCTGGAAGCTTTCTTATTATAAGAGCAGCATTTCATACAGCTGAGTACCCTCTAAAGAATTCTGCTATCCTTGACTCTGGGACAACGATCCATGTTTTTAATCAAAAAGGCAGATTCAAAAACTTTACCAAGGCGCCGGCCGGCGACTTCCTCTAGGCCGGTGAACAACCAGTTCAAATCCAGGGGTACGGCGACGTCGATATTCAAATCCAGGGGCCACAACAAAAACGTTGGGCAAAACAACAAAAACAACGCTTTTTACGGCTACGGAATGTGGCCTACTGCCCTGGCTTTGCCTGTAACCTTGTCTCGTTACGACAATTACGCAAACAAGGCCTTTGGTGGGATACTAGCCCTGGCAATAACGACATTCGTAGAGCCAACCATTCGATTATCTGCCAATTATCAGATCAATACGGCCAATTTGTTATGGAAAACATACCAAACAATCCCTCAAACGCAGCATTTGTCACACGGCGTAACAAATTCAACAGCCACACACAGAAGCGGCCAAATAAAGCCATTGCCAACCTCTGGCATCAACGACTTGGCCACCCTGGCCCACAGGCACTGGAGCATCTAGTCAATCATACGCAAGGCGTACGAATCAAGGGACCTACTACGGTTCAGTGTGACGCATGCGGCGTATCAAAGGCAAAGCGGCAAATCCAACGAAGGCCAAGAGAGCACAATGAAGGCCCCGGCCTACGAATTGCAATAGACCTCTTCGATTTCAACAAAGGCTATAATGGCTATCGATACCTACTGTTATTTTCTGACAGATGGTCTGGCCTAACCTGGGACTACTATCTTCAAGATAAGGAGGCTGAATCAATCATCCCAGCTATTAACAACCTATTTAACACCCTGGAGCATCAATACCAACTACGGCCAAAGGTAGTGGAATGTGACAATGAATTCCACAGGCCAGTTATCAAAGCTGTTTTTACACAACGCTCTACTAAAGTCGAGCCTTCAGCCCCGAACACACCAGCCCAGAATGGGGGGGCTGAACGCTCAGGGGGTGTGATAGCTGAAAAGATCAGAGCAATGCGAGCCGGAGCCAACCTACCAGCTGAATTATGGCCTGAAATTGCAAAAGCTGCAGTTTATCTAGATAATCGGACACCAAAATACGGCCTTAACTGGAAGACCCCGTACGATCGATTCCACACCTATGTGGTATTACAAACCACTCGACTGTTAGGGTCGTCTGTCTGTAAGGGAGCACGGGCTCCACAGGATGCTGGGGTTGGTAATTATAAAGATAGAACAAAGGGCAAGCTCCTATCGCACGGGTAATACAGTCAAATCGGAATGCCACTCAAAGTGTATGAGTGCAGTGAATGTGTATTGCTTGCTTGAAGAACCAAGCAAGAACTATCTAGGACCGTGGCTACGGTCGTCGTATATATCTATCTAAGGCGGACCAATCAGGGTTCTCCCGTACAGTGCTCAGGGCCTCCGGGGCGCTCAGTCTTCAAGAACGACTGAGCTCCCAATGGTAACTGAGCACTTTCCTGATTGGCTGTTCTTTCTGCTCAGTGGGTCTTCCCGGTCTTGGCACCCGAACGCACTGAGCGCCGCCTGATTGGCCGCACCGAGCTCATGTGGGGCCCGTCCGTCCCGCCAGTGCTGCCCAATCAGCAGCCGGCTTCCAGCGCCTCCTGCAGACTTGAGCCAGGATCGTAACAAAAAGGCCTCCGTCAATGGAATCCAAAACTTAACCCTAGAGCTTGGATTGGCTACCTAGTTGGCTACAGCTCGACAAACATCTACAGGATCTGTGTAAGGAAACCACCCTCGTAACCACCATGGCCACCGCCACCAGGGCCACCCTCGCCACCGTCGCCACTATCGCCACCGCTAACAGGGCCACGCACTATCGCCACTACCACCCTGGCTACGCAAGGATGACTCGTAACCCCTTTCACGTGTATATAGACCATGGCCTTCGCACACCTCTTTAGCTCAGGCCAGGTTGAAGTCTTACGCCAATACCAGTCATTGCTCGCCCTGCTTGTTGCTCCTATTGTGACCACCTTGATCAGGCGTACCTGCCTTCTCTTACAATCTGGAATCCACTAGCCAATAAAATCATTAGTACTAGGGACGTCATTTTCAACGAAGAAGAGCTCTTCAATGGTAATATTGAGGCCCCGAAAACCGACTGTATAAATATACGGCTGGATGAATTACAACGGCTCCTTACTACTATTGAAGAACCAGATTCAGAATCTCTACTACCCTCTGGAATCCAAGAAGACGAAGAAGTCTATTTGGCTGAAGAAGAAGAAGAAGAAGAAGAAGAAGAAGAAGAAGAAGAAGAAGAAGAAGAAGAAGAAGAAGAAGAAAAAGAAGAAGAAGAAGAAGACGCTGAAGAAGACGCTGAAGAAGACGCTGAAGAAGAAGAAGTGGCCCGAGTGGAACCATATACCTACGCCAGATTTGAGCCATACCCTACACCTTCACTATCTCCAAAAGCCGCATTACTAGCCGGAACAATTCAACAAGCCACAGCCACAGCCACAATCAACCCTACAAACTTCGAGCCATGGATAGCTGCTGTCAGAAAAAAGGGGGGTTCTAGAAGGTGCTGGAATCATGGATTTGTCACTATCAGAAAGAAGGGAGATTCTAGAAGGTGCTAGAATCATGAATTTGTCACTATTAGCCACAGACGCGCAATAACCTCGCCACCTGGCCATGGCTATAAGAAATGCTCTCTGGCAGAGCCAGAGAGCCTAGAAAGAGGGCAATACAATCAAGCAATTACAACCCCATCAATTCCACAAGATCCAGTGTGCAGTGTTTCTGACAGCTGTGACGGCGTTTAGCAACACCCACTACCGCTGCACCACACCTTCCAAAAGGATGCCAGAATTACAAGCCGTCAGGCTGCAATTCTATAGTGGGTTATAGTATGGTCACGCATCCGTAGGGCCTCAGCGCCTACCGCCGTGCCGTGACAACAGCAACCAATCAAAGTTCCTGCCTTACATGCTCAGTGCACCTTGGCACTGGCCCCACTGAGCACTCCCTAATTGGATGCACCTTCTCTTGGCAAGAGCCCCACCCTAAGTGCCGTTCCAGCCAATCTGCAGCGGGCGGGCAACGCCCTCTGCACCTTTGAACCAGGATCGTAACAGTAAGGGCAGTTGTGGCCCAGATTAGAGCCGGAGTACGGAAGAAATCGTGCTCCCGGAAGTAC